GCCATGATATTGGCTTATAATTTTCCTTTTTGATAGTGTCTTTCTCTGGTTTTGGTATCAGGGTGATGGTGGCTTCATAGAATGAGTTTGGAAGCATTCCTTCCTTTTCAGTCTTTTGGAAGAGTTTGAGAAGGATCAGTGAGAGTTATTCTTTGTATGTTTAGTAGAATTCCCCAGTGGAGCCATCTGGTCCTGGACTTTTATTCGTAGTGAGGTTTTTTTTTTACTGCTAATTTGATTTCATTTCTAGTGATCGAAGTGTTCAAGTGGTCTATTTCTTCTTGATTCAATCTGCTGGACTGTATGTTTCCAGAAATGTGTCCATTTCTTCTACGTTGTCCAATATGTTTCCATATAGTTGTAACACTCACGTCTTGTCAGTTGATTTTTGACGAGGGTTCCAAGATGACTCGTGGGAAAACTAGCCTTTTCAACAAGTGGTGCAGGACTCATGCACACAGACATATGACTCCAACTCTGTATCTATGCCAGTTCCTTTTTACTTTACATTCAATTAATGTTTCTCTCTTCCATCCACCAAGTATTTCCCACCGCACATCTCTGCACTGCTATATACAATATTCACCCATCTGAAATTCCCTCTCCTGTTTTTCAGTGCAGATATATTAAGATTTATTTCCAACCACTGGACATACAGGAAGCCCAGCTCTGTTAAGCCATTCTTTTCCATTCTTCCAGGCAGTGTGTGCAATGATCCTGCCCATCTTCATAGTATAGCATGACATTTTATATTTTCTAAATTGTTTGTAATTGTTTATATTTCACCAGGGGTATCATTCTGTCTCTTCTTGGGTAGACTATTAGTACCCATAGAGCAGGATCAGGTTTTCTACTTCTTTAACAGTTAAATATGATGTCTTCCATAACAATATTTATTGCATATTCATGCACAAAATGGGTACTAAAATGCATGTCAACGTTGTTTGCATGACCACTGAAACATCCCTTGTAAATATGAGAGTAATCAATGAACAGAGAATGCACAGTCAAATAACTGATGTGTCATTAACATTTTACCTGCTCCATCTTGATCAGGAAGCAATCGATAAAGTCCCGAGGATTGTTCATGTCCAGGGATGCTTGGTGCTCCTTTGTTTTCTCCAAAATATAGTCTTTTAAATTAGCATTATTTTTAATTACTTTATTATGACTCCCTGGGAAATAATCAATGAGAACGGGGAAACTATTGCAAATCTAGGAGAGAAAACAATAGTTTATTGAATAAAGAACACTGAATGAAGACTTGTATACCATATGCCAAGCCCTGGTTAGAAACAGTAGTATAAATGGTAATGTCATATGTGTATTCCTGCTTTTAGGAGAA